TTTCAACAAGTTCTGCATGGTTTTTTTTAAAAGCAAAGATGAGGTTATATATAACTTTTCACGGGCTACAAGATGCTCATAATGAGATTTTATCAGGTTCTTGGTCTGTAAGAAGTAGGCGGGGATGCGTGGAACACCTGTAACGTTAACTTCTTTCAGAAGTTTTTCTTTTCTGGCGAAAGAGAGGTTATAAGGAAACCCTTAAAGAGCTCAGTTTTTCTACAGTATGATCAACGACAAAAGCTTCAATATAAATCCAATACAGAGGATCAATGACAAATTAAAGTTTAAATAAAACATTTTAAACTTATAAAGCTTACAACGAAAGTTGAAAGATGGAAAAAATTTTACCTCCTGGGATAAGGATTTTTTCTACTACTATATTTTTGAAAAATGCACCAGACTGTACAGCTCTCTTGTATAACGATACAAGGCTTTTACAAAATCCTTATGAATCAACTTTTTCCAACACTAATAATTCAAAGTTTTGTATATTTATTTATATTACTTTCTAGTTCGAAAAAAGCTGTGATATTTGTCGTATAATCACTTTTTGCATTATATTAGTCCGTTATGGTGCTACCCAGCTAGTTTCTACTATTGTCTTGGAAGTTAATTTTAATGGTATTTTATTTTAAATAGATAATTTGCATTCATAATATAAAATGAACATTATTAAAAAAAAATTTTCTGAACGTACAGTATATGTTTGAAAAATATGTTGAGCAGAATATAAAATTTAGGATTTTGGTAGTTACATAAGGAATACAGGATTTTGCTTCGAAATCTATACTAATTTATCTACTGTTTGTGTTAAACTGCGTAAAATAAGCTGCTGTTGGCTGATTTGTATAAACAACGCGATCTAAATATTGTTTGAGATTTTTTTGTTCATTTGCCAAACGTTGATTATCACCATATAAATCTTGTTCAATAGTACGTTTTTCTCGTTCAATTTGTTTTTCCGATATCATACCGGCTTTCGCTTCGGCAAAACGCCGTCTATTCCATTCCTCTTCACGCTGACGTTCCTCTTCTTCTTGTCTCTGCAAATTAGTAAATAACCATTTATTTATTTAGGAAATTAAATAAGTACTTTCTAAAAGTCAAATTTGGGGCGTACATAAAGCATTGGCGACATCAATCGATCAGAACAGCACCTATTTGATGTTATAGAAGAATATCTTTCTCAACCCAAATTTCAGATTCAGATCGAAAAATCTCTAAAGCATCTCAATTCATTTACTTTCATCCTTTTTGAATGTATCTTGAAAAATTTTAGTGGATTAAATTATCACACAAACCTTTTTCTCTTCTACTTGACGTTGCTGTTCTTCACGTATTTTTTGCAATTGTTCTGGTGACATGCCTTTCCAACGATCTGGCACAACTCTGTGTGGACCAAATTGTGATATTGCTTGATCAGCATTTTCTGTTAACAAATCACTCGTTATCATATTGGCCATTTCTGCATAATTATCGTAATCTTCTTGACGTTTTTTCAAATATTTTCGTTCTTCTGTTTCACGTAACTAAAACAAAAAATAGTAAAAAAATGCAATGGTAAAACCAAGATATGACTTACTAATGCACTATTAAAATTTTTCACAGCATTATTAATTGCTTTTCGACATTCTTCTTCTGCTCGTTGCAATTCGATTGCTCGTTGATCCATCTCATGCTGTTTCATTTCGTATAAACGATCAGCTGCATTCTGTTGATCAATTGCTTGTCGACGATGCTCTTGCTAGAAAACCATAATCATTTATTTCAATTCAAATGAATATCTATGATCAATACCTGCATTCTTGACCATTCCCGTAGTTGTTCTTGTTGATATTTATTCCGCGCTTTTGAATTTAAATCTTCACCATCAAACTTTTGTAGACCGGACATACCACATCGAGGATCATCATCGGATACGCGAGCTGGTATATCTTTTTTGAGATAATCAGGATCATTCAGATCCCACTCTCCTATAATTTTAAAAGATAAGAATTTGCAAACACCAAAAAGGATGAGAAAGCGATCGTACGTTGACTAAATGGTTGTTGATGCATGGCACGAAATTCATTCAATGATCGATTATATTCGCGTTGATCATATTCTTGGCGTCTCTGTAATAACTGTGCAATCGTGTCATTTCGAACAATATCTTTCGCTAGAAGAAAAAAATCACTTTTAATAGAAGCTAACATGCCTTCTGTATATTCCAGATATATACCAAATGCTTGATCACGCTTATGTTCTAAATCTTCTATCCATTGCCTATCTTGCACTTGTTGCTCGAGAGCATCTTTATCGATCTAATTCATAATAAGAATTAAAGTTTTTTTGGATATGTAAGTGTGATTAAACATTACCCCCGTCTGGCGTTGTTTTGAATTAAAAATGCGAGCCTGACGATCTTTTTCCATACGCCGACGCCGCTCAATAGCGGCCTGTTCCTTTAAGTCAATGGGCAAATCTAGTTTATACATGATTAGCGCAACAAAAATATGATCTATAACTAAAAATAAGTTGACGCTATACTGGCGGAAACGGAGGCAAATGAATACATAACACCTTTAAACATAGTGATTTCTCTAATTCGCCTGTTTCTCAACATTATCACCATTCTTACTTTTAGTATTATTGCGCTAGTGTAAAGAGTTATTCCTAACGACTTATTAAAACACAAATCTCTATATATATGCTTGCTCACAGGTCTAGACCATTTAAAGAAATCTATCAACATACACAAATTTATTTGGCATATCGATCTATGTCTTATGGGCTGCTGCCGGGAGTTGTTTTTTTCAGTGTAGATGCCTACCAGTACAAACCAAATCTATACCTATACTCAACTTGGTTCTTCTACAGATCGATCACACCCCCTACTGTGGTGCGTGTGGAGTGTGAGTGTGCGATCGATCTGTAGAAGTACCCTCAACTTTCGGACAGGCTACGTGTAATATGAAATTTTTTCTATAATCTAGCAAAAATAAGTTTTTCTAATATTAATTCTCATTGAAACCGTTATTACTAAGCATGCGGTTGGGATATGAAAAATCATACTCGTGCCCATCTCCAATTCCTTGAGAAGCGTTAGTAGAGTTACATAAAAGATAATGTCACTAGATAATTTTATATGAAATCAGTCTAAACAACAGATGGTTTCATATCAGTAACGCGTGTGTTCCCTGAAAGAGGAAAAACACTTAACCATTGTCATAAAACTAGTTCATAGCAACGGACATTCCACATCAGTAATAGAACGCAAGTGCATATGTATGTTCAACTGTCACCGTCCTCTAGAAAACGCTTATAGCCAAGAGTTAGGCGACTTGGATAATCTTTGCACGTCTCGGATTTTCTTTTAACTGAGGTTAACTTTTCTATAAAAGAATGATATGTTTGAATCTCTTGACTGAAGATGGCGCTGTGAGTAATTATTTTAGCCTGTTTATTGATGTGATCAGCTCCAGGGTTACTACAGATTTAAAATTCAGCCAATTTTATAGTGTGTTGGTAGGTATCAGAACAGAGATACTGCGACACAGGTTCGCCGACTATATATATATACACGTAATAATGGTAATTTCTGAATTACGGTTTTGTTTTATACTTATGTTTGCATCTAGTGCGTCGATTTTCATACTTTTCGTCGATATATGCGAAACCTGAATTATTAGAATTAGCTGATGCATATTCCCCGAAAAAACAATGTAAAGTTGATGAAGCTGCTAAACAATTTAATATTGAGATTTTAAGATTATCTATTAAACATTGTGTATTAAATCCAATCGAATTAGCATGGGCTGATCTTAAAACATACGTACAGGGTTGCCAAGTGCAAAATCCGCAGTTCGGAAAAAATTCTGTTAAAATCGGAAAAAGTCAGAAAAAAATGGTATTAAAAATCGGAAGAAGCATTTTTTTTAGAATACCTTAACAAACTAAAGATATCAGGCTTTTTCTGCTACAGCAATACATGTTCGTTCAACAGAAAAAACAGATTCAATAACAGTTAAAAAAACTAATATCTGAAACACTGGCTGTTTCTTTTATGACTTTCTTTTAACTGTTCATACATGAAAAACACTTAAAAAAAGTGAACTGTAATACAAATCAAAACAGAACATACTACGTCTTATGAATACGTGGATTTTTTGCTATATGTGTGTATTTTTTTTTGACTACGTACTGCTTTTAATAGATCCGGTTTAGATAGAATCAAATTATAAAACTGTTTACAATCAATATCTGCACTATTCAATCTTATTTTCAGCTCAGCTGAAATGAGTTCCATTTTGTTTCGTGTGTTTATCCACGCTTGTTTCATATGATTGAAGACACCTTCACAATAACCATTGGATATTGGAATTGAAAAGCACAATGAAATTAATTGTTTTAAATTTGGTGCTGGCTTATCATGTACATGAAACAAATAAGCCCATAATTGATCAGGATAGATTCGTTTTGGTTCTTCTTCCTTCGTCTTCCCGTCATCCATATCTTTTTTCTCTTCTTCCTTGTCCTCTTTGTCATCCTGTTTAATTCCTTCTTTATTTTCACGTAAAAATAATTGTATTTGCTCATGTAGTGGTCTACCTTTCTTGTTTAATACAATATAGGTCGCTTGAACTTCACACAATTCATCATACAATTTATCAATATCAATATTTTGTATTTTAATTGCGTCGACGCATTGTTCAACATCATTCCATGAAATCGAACCAATCGAAATATTACCCCATACCGATAAACTCTGATACAAATTGGCATTTTCATCAAAATACGTGTGAATATAACTGATTATCTTGTTGATGAAATTTTCAAATGATTTTTCTAATTTTTCAGCATCCTCTTTGTTCATTTTTCTAAATCTTTCCCGTGATAAATAGCCATAATATTTATCATCTGATCTTTTTTTCAATTTAATCAAAATACTTGTTATCATTCGATGGATATCAACGGCTGTACAATGATGATGTTGAAATTGAAGAGCTGATCGTTGCATTTCAAATAAAATATTTTCTAAAAAATACAATGTACAAATAGATTCATCCAATGTGAAAAAACTATTCAATATAGCTGGACAATCTTCGCCAAGATTGAGATTATATGCTCCAACAGCTGGATAAACTTTTACTAAACGTTCGATTGAATTAAACAAACTTAGCCATCTAATTTTTATATGCTGTAATAATACCTGTTAGAACAAAACAAAGTGAGCACTATTTAGGAAGAAATCGCCAAACCAAAACTATAACTGAAAATGAGCATTGTATGGTCACTTACAACATAATCGAGTTCAACAAACTCAAAATATGATTTTAGTTCTTCAATTCGTTTTGTTGATCGAGAGAAGTAGGCATAGACTTTCATAATAATACATTCAACATCAAGCAATAAATAACTATTAGCATGTTTAACAGAATTATTCAAAATATGAGAAAAACAATTTCCTGAAATTATAAATTGTAGATCAATGTGAAGAAGAACGAATAAATAATCAGACCTCTTATCAGATTTGGCTTAATATCTCGAAACAACGTATACAATGAATGATTGGCACCAAAGTTAACATTTGTATTATCGGCTCCTAAAGCTGTTAAACCTTCAATAGTCAACCCATTGCTCATCATTACTTCGTGTGTATTGCGAAACACTTCATTGGCTGTTTCATCTGGATATTCAATTACTTG